AGAATGAAACAAAGATGGACACAAAAAATGACTTTTGACTTCTTTTAGAGCAAATATAGATAAAACAAAAGTTTGATTCCCATTCTATAATTACATTGTAATCTCCATTTTTAATAAAATAATCTATAAATATTACTAATACTTAAACCAACATGTCATGATTTCATTTTTTGTTTTGTTTTGTGCAAAAAGTCCCAAAATAGCTTTCAGTTGGTGTTAAGTTTAGCCAATTTCTCTAAATCAGAGCTGCCATTTTTGCCATCCTAGTCAGTTCCATCAGCTTTAACAATCATTTTTCCATTGTAGGTATTGTCAAATCCTTCCAACTCTTGCTACCAAGTCTTGCTACTGTTAAAATGTACAAGAACAAAATGCCATGCATTTTTTTTCAAACTTTTTGTCCATCAATTCTAACAAAAATATCCCTGGCCTGAATTGTATACTAACCTTGATTTTTTTAAAATTAATATACTGTATGTTTCATTTCAATAATTTTTAGGGTTTTTTACAAGGCCTCCAAAGGTGGTCTCCCTCCCTCCCTCCCTCCGTCTCTCTCTCTTAGAAATCTCTTAGCATTTTATTCTGTTCAGACTTACCATGTTAATTATCAACAAACAACCTGTGGTTAAATGTCAATGTTGAGACAAAAGTTTTCTACATTTTAAACTATTAAAAATTCAGTTGAGAATTTAACTAAGAGTTTCAGTGGATTTGACTTCAGATCAAACTGGGAGTTTCAGTGGATCTTACTTTAGTAAATATTCAGTGAGGGCAAAACTGCAGCTCATGTTAAAAGTACTTTTAAATTTAGCATGTAACTTATATATACAGATGGCATGAACTGGAAATTCAGAAGTGGCTGCGATCACAATAGAAGTGGAGGTGGAATATATCTCTACTCTGGCACCAATAGAAAACTTCCTTGTATGCCAGTGTTATTTCACAGAAGAATTTTCTCCAGAACTGAAGCAGAGGAAGAAGTTCAATCTCCTAAATTTACTGCAAACTTCATAATTTTTAGCTAGGCACCAAATCAGGTTGTCTGTATTTGAAAAACGCTTGGAATGCTGTATTTATCTTTACCAGCTATTTGCACCAGGTCACTTACCTTGAGGTATTTGGGGTATAAGAGTAAAAGGACCTCTGATCTTGGATCATGAAAAACTACAAATTTATCCAATGGTAATATTGCTTAGTTGGGATGACTCATATGAGACTCATATGGACCAGGGAAATTTTCTTTTCTTGTGGATTTTGTGACTCACTTTAGCATAGGCACACCCTTGTGAGGTGCATAGGCACACCCTTTGGAGATGCATAATTGTGCAGTCAGGATTAGTCCCTCTTATCTGACTCTGTGTCAGCCAGTTTCTTTTCCTTGAGTTTTAACTGCTGGTTAAGGATTGTATTGATAACATACCTTTAGGACTTCTACATCAGCTTCCTGCTTTTTAAGTGACTAATTTTTATTTAATCACTTTATTTTATTTTATTTTTAAAAAAAACACATTCTCTTGTTGCAAGGCAATAGCAAAAAAACAAAAAAACCACACACACACAAATACTTACTGTGGATCCAAAGCTTAATCCAGTGGAAATTGCTCCTGGACAAGGTTCATTAAATAACATGACATTCCAGGAGGTGATACCTATAGGCCTCTAGCCTCTATTTGTTTTAAGTGGCTTACTCATCAAACGTTATTGAGAACTATGCCCAGCCTATTTAGAATTAAATTAAAAAATGTAAGGTTTTGTTTTGCTTTTTTAAAAAAATATCAATATAACCGCTTACAATACAATATTAAGCAGAACAGTTTACCAAATACTGAGTTTGTTAAATTATGGCAAATATGTTTAAATAAAATAAAAAGAAAAGATTTTACTTTTCCTTACCAGCAAAATTCAATAGCTTAGGATTTCAATACAGTTTAGTTTCACTATGGAAATAGGAAACGCGGAATTTTTACAAAATCATGCTTGTACATGATATATGTAATTTATGTACATGATAAATGTAATTTACCATGTAATTTACCAAGAAATGGTAGTTACCATGTGCCAGTAGTTATTAATAGTTTTTAAAACTGATTGATGATGTTTCAATTTTCTGGTAATTTCTCACATTTGAATAATTATTTCTGAAATGCATTTTAATCTGCATCCTGCTAGAGATTATTATTTTTTTTTGAGTGAGGATTGTTTCACAGGAGTGGACAGAATTCAGACTGTCATATTTTAATATTTCATTTTATAGACCTTTCATGTGATAGGTAAAGTACAATTTATTTATACAACTTCTAATTGTTTTTTTTTTCCTGAAAATACTGGACATGATTTGAATTGGAGCTAGTTCTTTAGAAATGGATGAGAAACTATGTTCAAAGTAATGTTTTTCTCTGATCTTGCCTGTTTACCAAAGGCAAGACCCCATCTTGGATGATATTGATCAGATTTCCATCTACCTTATAAATTTGACAAGAGCCAAGATGATGATGATGACGATGATGATGACAATAATAATAATAATAATATGAAGAAGTTGGAAGGGAAAGGCAGCTAGTGGGCAGTGAACAACCAGGAAACCAAAATACACAAATATAGGGATCCTTATTTAACTACTATTTCAGAAAATCCAGCCGCATGGCCAATAAGTGATGCTCAGGAGAAGGTCAGATTCCCTATCTGTAAAGTATATGAGGTTCATTTTGTGACTGCTTGCCATAGTCATAAAGCATTGCAAGGATTTTAGAAATATTTACTAAGGAAATTGCTAGTGTTGATGAATAAAAATATCCACAAAAAGAAACAAGTCCAAAGCACTGTACTACAAACTTTTTAAATGCTATTTATTGTTATGTTATTCATGGATTCAAACTCTAATTCTAATAAGCAAAAGATAGTACAAATATAAATGTTTTAAATTATTTCCCCCTCTGGATCATGAAAAGAGATTTTACAATCCAGACTGCTTTTCAGGATTTCTTGAACATTTGCATAATTCTTAAATAATACAGAGCATTCTTTATTGTTAACACTTCTGTCTTATAAAGAATAAATAATAGTTAATTTAGTCTAATCTACCTATTTTGTTTTATAAATAAACCTCACTTTAACCTTAACTAGTGAATTATTCTGACTATGAAATGCTTGTGCGCAAGTTTGAATCGTTAAGTCCACCAATATAAATGCTTGTCATGCAATTGTCTCCTTTACTTTCCAAAGATAGATTTCTTTCAAGTGAATCATTAGCCATGTTTGAATTTAAATTAGATAGAATGTTGAACTAAATAAATGTTAAACAGGTTCAAATGTTTCCCTTAGCTTTAGGGTAAACTATGTTCAGCAACTGGAAAACATTCCAAAGTCACAGTTGGCTTTCTTTCAAGAAGTTAACAAGGTTTTCTGTTATCAGCTAAGTGCTTGTGATGCATATGTTCCAGAAGAAGCAAATATTCTGTCATAGTTATTCAGGAATGTGGCTGTACTAAAGCAATAAGCTTATCATTTTTGTCAAAAAATCTTTTATAAGATAAAGGAATGGTTGCACAAATCAATATTACTTCTCTGAATATTTTTTCCCTTATTTCCAGAGAAAGTAATACACAAATCAAAATAATAAAATTATATGCTTACAATAAATAAAACTATATGCTTACAATAAATAAAATATATAAATACAAATAAAACGCACTCAAAACAAAGCCTTTGCATACAGAAATAGATAGGTCCTAGATACTTTATTCAAATTCAGTGCGGGGCAAAATCCAGAACAATCCTTATTTGATCATATGATCAAGATTAGCTTGGAACTAAGAAGTTCATTGGTCTAAAAGGATATTTCTTTATTTAATTCAAGGCCACTAATTCAGTGCTCTGTCAGCTTACATGTAACCCCCTCCCCCAAAATAAGACATATAAAAAGATCATTACCATTTAGAAAGCCATTTAAAAAACCCCAAACATTTAAAAGCTATATAGGGATTCCACAACTCTCCTAGCTCAGGGCTGGGTAAAACCACAAAATTTTTAATGATGTTTCAGAATGTGGTAAGGAACTGTATGAATCTCAGTGGTGATGCCATTCCAGAGACACCACAACAGATAATACTTTCAATTGACTGGACCTAGTCTGCTTTGATCTCATGAGATGGGCAGATACAATAGGCGGTAAGGGAGCTAAGCCTTATCCCATGAAAGGCTTTATAGGTAATAGCCAGCATCTTTATACGATAGAACCTGAAGCCAACTACTGTAGTAATCAGTGCAGCTCACATGAGCATAATGTAACACCTCTATCACTGCCTGCCCCATGGCATTCTAGATCAGCTATGGTTTCTGAGGATTCCTCAAGGGTTGCTTGTGTAGAGTGCATTACTACAATCCAGTATGAGAGGACCAAAACAGGAGTGGCTGTCTAATAGACTTGAAGACAACATTTTCATTTCACACAGAACTACTAATAATGTCAGAGGTAGTATGAATTTTCTTTCAACTAGTTTGGATTTTTCTAGATTGCATACATTATCCTCTCTCAAAGATAAATGTTATCTCAATAGGAGATCTCTCCCTTTTAGGTATGGTTCATTTGTCTCTCACAAACAACAACTATAGTTCTAGACCTGATTTGAGTTTTAATACAGTGGTTATGAAGAGGTCAGAGGAGTAAATACTACTGCAAGGTCGGTTTACTAGATCTAATTGCTATCACTCAAGAAGTGTACAAATGTTCCAAATAGTTGAAGAATGAAATCTTGGAATGAAGAAATTTTCAAATTTTGAATAATTTACAAGATAGAAAGGATGAGAGAGCCATCTTCTAACTTTGTGGAACAAAAAAACCCCCCAAATCACAGCTTTTTACTGCATGTGTATTTTTTTCCCCCCCTTCTTTAAAAACAATTGCTTTTAAACCAATATTAGTAATCACCACAGGAAGTTTGTATATTTTTGTAGTTGCTTTGTTCAAAATAAAAACAAAGAATATAAAACAAGCTATAATGTACTACATGTCAAAAAAACTTTTATTGTGCATACAATAACTCTATCCTGTTCATCCAGATTGCACAATTACATCTAGACTTTTCAGGATTTAAAACAAAGCATGAAATAAATGTGAAAGACAGAAAATACTGTAGATGTTATGAGCACAAATAAAATAAGATATTCTCACTCTACAACACTCAAAAGAATTGCAATAAACATATAATAATAAAACTGGCATTCTAAACAAGAAGTTGTTAGGAATTAAAATCAAAGTCAAAATCAAAAGTAAGTTCTTTCAGATTTCACATGAGATAACAGATACACTATTTAAAGAAAATATACATAATATTCTAATATTTTATTAATTTGCAACCATACTTCTGTCACTTTTATTAATATAAACCAAAATATCAGTACTAACTGTGATTTAGAGTGCAAAATTGGAATCAAAAAAAGACAAGCTGTTTTTAATTTCTATTTATCCTCTTTAATAAACACAAATATTTCTGAAGATTAGTTCGCTGTTTCTTGACCACTGGGAGAATCATACAATATTTAAAAATATGTATTATAATAATAAAGATAAGAAAAAAATTACCAAAAAATCCAACTGTTACATAAAATTGGCTATTTTACATGGCATAATTATTATTGGAGAGACCTGAACTTTAAGTAGGGAAAGAAACACACTGCTATTAACAGTCACTTCAGGTAAAATAACAGAAATTGCATAAATGAAAAACAGGAATTATGAAGCACCTAGTATAAGAAAGATATAATTTTGTATTCTACAGATTTCAGAGAAATAAATTGATTAATGGACAGGAAGGCCACCTGAAGAAGGCTAATAATGTCTAGCCTCATGAATGTGTGAATGAGTGAGGTTGAAATTCTAAAACATAGGACAGTATTTACATACTTCCTCAATGGTCAGAGTCCAACACTTGTGTTCCCCTGAAATGGTTTGCTGTAGAGAAGTATGTAGAGAATACTTAAGGGTTGAGTTTGGACCATGTGTTACATTAGATGAAATTGTGCAGAATAATTTATAGCCCACCATGTTTATTTATACAAAAATCTGCATGTAACCTGCTTCAGACAAGCCGGGCAGTTTACAATAAATAAAAGAAATCCCCATACAAAGAAGAAATCCCATCTATTCCTAACAAAAAAAATCATATTACCAACACAACAAAAAACAATCTTAAAAAAATCAAGAAAAAATATATTTGTTGTGAAAGACAGGTATATTTGCAGCAAGGTTGTGAACAAATCTACCACACTGTTATGTGACCTCAGTAATTGTTTTGTTAAAGCAGTTCCTGCTATGTAATAACCTAGCATTTTATGAGACTTTTGGATCATGATGGAGCTAATCATGCCAAAACAGGCCAAATGTCTGTAAATCATGAATAAAGTTCATAAAGGCAAGCACTGAACTGCAAAATACTTCACAAAAGCAGGTGCAACCCAACAGCTTTCCAGTGCCCTTCCTAAGAAAGTCCTATACTCTACTAGAATCTGAATGTAATGATTTGGAATACACTATAAATAATTAACATAAAAATAAATTAACGATGGAAAATGCATACAAAATCCTGACAATACTGGCCTTGTTCATCTGTATCCCTTTCCAGGTATAAAATCAACAATTGCCAAAAGAACCTGCTTAATACAGCAGCTTACTTAAATATTAATACTGATTTACTTTGGATTAAATTTTAATCAATATTTAATCATCAATAATGAAACATCAAGTGATTTTCATAGACAATGGCTTATGAAAATGATTTCATCTCAACATATTATTATAAATATATACCTCAAATTTAAAAAAAGGAAACTTGTCAAATTCTGAATTAGGCCATGAATAGTATAAGTTAGAACAGGGGTACAACTATAGTAACTTTATGAACCGTGGACTTCAACTCCCAGAATTCCTGAGCCAGCATGGTCCATCCCTGAGTTAGAGTCTATAGTGGTACCGATTTGGATGAGGATGCTGATGATGCAAACAATTCTGAGCTTTATAGTGAAAAATCTCTCCCCCATGTGATAATAAATGTTCCTTAAAAGAAGGCTTCAATCTCTAAGTCCTTTTCTGAAACCACTAGAATTCTTTTCTTCCTGGGCAAGTCCTTAAAACCTGGCTTTATCTCCAGGCAGTCCCCTGGCAGACACTTTTACTTGTTTAATTAATTGTTCTACTCCAGACTTCCTTTCAACTATATATTGTATGCTTTTGATTGTTTTTCAAAATTGTAAATTGCCTAGTGTTCATGCCACCTATCCGTTTAATAAATAAATAATGAATAAATAAATGAATAAAAGAAGTTTATAGAACTAAGTAAGTCGGTCTTGTAGGATGACATATAATAGTGCCTTCATTTTCTGTTCATCATTGCAGTGGCTGAAATGGCCCCTGAAATAGACAGAATACTCAGAACATCCGATATGCAACTGTGGTTTCTGAAGAACATTTGTTTGTTGGAAACTTGAAGCAAACTTGTATCGAATCTTTTCTTTACTAAAGTCTCATTAAAACATTCAGTGCAAGTTAACAACACAAACTACTATGAATGTATTATGAGAAATTTCCAAACAGGTACTTAGGAAAATAGCTATAAATTCTCCTCCAACAATCTTTCAATTAAAATAGCACAAAAGTGGAAATAGCACTCCTGGCAAATATTGGAAAGTTGCCATTGATTCTTCTTCTGGCCCAGTCTTGGCACTCAGAACTGCCTGCCTTTCTTGCATTTTGATTGGTACTACACAATAGATTAAGTTGCTTTTGCTTACCATGATCAAGATACAGATTTGGTGGGTTCCTATTTACAGATTGCCTTCTCTAAAGGAGGCTTAACTGAAGGAGACTAAATTAAACAACGGTGTAGTAGTAAACTTTCAGTGTAGGCTATAGTCTCTAGAATATCTATTTTGACATGTTCTACTTAGTTTAGTAGGATTTATTCTCAGGGGAAAAATGCATATGAAACTGCAGCAATAATAACTTTGCATGGCATGCCAGCAACTTTTATTACCATCAATTGCCCAGAATGGATTAAATAGGAAGGTATATTTTGCTTTTTACAAAAAAATAAACACATAAATATTGTTTTACAATTTGAAAATTATTGCATTAATAAATTCTACAAAATGGCAGATACTTTGTACCCTGGAGTGCCATTTCCTATTTACATTCTTCTGTGCAAATTCCAACATGTTAGAAGTGAATTATGCCAGAATGGGATGAGGGTTAGGTGGTATTAGCCTCTTACTTCTCAGAAGTGATTCTAAATCTAGGACTTAAAAAAAAAATCCACAAAATAAATAGTGTTGCATTTAAAATAATTCTTCTTTGTACCCAGTTCGGGTTCTCCAAAATAATGAATTAAAATGCAAGTTCAAGTAAAAAATGGAGGTCTAAACACATAATTAACTCTAAAAATTCACACATATTACTGTGTTTATCAAAGATCACAGCAAACAATAGAAATGATATTTCCCTAAAGAATGACCGAGGTAACAGAATACACACAATACAGTAGTAATGAAACAAGTGCAGCACATATTTCTGCCTGAGGTATCTAGAGAGGTAAACTGTTGGCTAACCTGATGAATTCGAGCTTATAATTTATTATTATCCTTTGAGCCACAGTTCCGGGTTTCATGAGATGCAGGATGTACATACTCAAGTCCATGACGAGGCCTCTGCTAATAATTTCCATGTGTTGTACAGCTGAGCTCCAGTTGGTCAGCCAGCATCACATCCTGTATTTCCACAGAGGCAGGCCGAATGTTCCTATGCGCAGCAGAGAAGGACGTACTATCCTGCAAGTTTAGATCTATGTATTGAGGTCAACGTAAGCATTTTGTCTTCATACTGTGTCAAACAGAAAAATGGTTGGGAGTCTTGAAGTAGAGTAATTGATATACATTAAATACTCCCAAATGAATCCCCCTTTTAAACAATCAGTATTTTTTTTTTACCTTCTAACAGGAGATTATTTAATCCAATGATGGTAGCTGCAAAGTCTACCTGTTCCACGAAATCTGAAGTAATGATGTTAACTCCCATGATTCCTGGTTTCTGCAACTTCACCCAGTTCAAAATGAAAGGAAGATTTCTATGAGAAATAAAGGAAAATATTATATCACAGATATATGAGACACACTTTATGTTATAAATAATAATATATCACCTACATATATTGTAGATTATGTCATAATAGAAGAGAATATTTGTATCTCAGGGTTGAACTGTGGAGTTCTTGGTCCGCCATAAGCTTCATAGTGCTAGCACTGAAAATGCTACCTAGTAGGGTAATGAAACGTTTGCAAGAAAATAATCAAGATCAGAGAGCACCAAGGATTCCACTGTAGATAATCTACAATACTTCTTGGAAATAAGAACGTTATTTGTATTTCATATTACACTTCATCATTTTTTAAAAAAAATATCAGGAAAAGCATGCCACATTTGAGGCCCTCATATATTATAGGTCAAGAAGAGGGAAAGAAATTAACAAATGCATTGCAACACCATCTAAATTTTCCATAAATAGGATTTTAGCGGTACATAGTAGATAAACAATAGTATTATTTTTAAAGTTATCTATGCACTCAGAAGATAGCTGAATATTAAAAGCAGACTACATTGTTTATCAACATTATTTTTATATTGTTTCTAAAATTCTAATATCGACTTTTTAATGTTGATATGCCACCTAATATCTACATCTTGCTAACAGCATTTAAGCATTCAAAATAAATACTATGAACCTGAGATCTAATTCGCACACTATGCCAAGTAATAGTTTAACAATAGGTTAAACTATTTAATCCTAGGTTAGACTACATTATGGTTTAATGAGATATAAAGGTGTTAGGAAAATATTTAAGCAGGTGATGTAATTTAAGAAAGTTGTTTTCCTGCCTGTGTTTTTTTAAGTTATTATTTTTGTCCTTCCCTACAATAAAGTGAGAGATGTTGCTGTAACATTGCTTTCAAGTGTTTGGATTTGAGAAGCAAATCACTAGAGATACAATTGATATGCGAAGAATGACAAGCCTTTTTAAATTCACTCTTTTATCCAGAAACCTCTTTCAAGCAAATTAAACATTGCCTAGTTCATTATGTATCTATGTAACTTGTGCTTACAATCACGTTTTATGTCAGCTATTCATCCTAAAGTAGGAATGAGGTAATACAAGCAAAATAAATCATATTTGATTGGTTTGTCTACTTTTTATTGATTTAATATTTCTGTATCACATAATTTGTAATATTATCTATAGTTGTATTGTTTTTGCTATTAAAATAAAGATACAGCACATTTGGTTATTTTAAAAAAGGGAAAGCAATTTAGCACCATCTAGTACCTTATAAATGTACAGCAATTATTTTTCAAAGAGAAATTTGTAGTTATAACAATGGATCTTTAACTCTGATAGAAATGAAGATAGGTTTGAGCATCCTGTGTATTGCCACTGCTGAGACTATTTTTCTGTCCACTGTCGTTATAGTATGTTACTTGCTATATTACTATAATTGACCAATCTAGTACTGCAATAAATTAAAAGTAATGAGAGATTAAAGTGTTAATAGACTATATTAGGCACTGTAATTGAAGAAAACAGAACCATTAATTTGTCAACATGTCTTCAGAATAAAGTTAAGGATTATTTCTTAGTTTGGCTTTATACATAATTCTGCTTCAATAGTGGGTTTTGTTGACTCGTACAGCCATTAGCCTAGATCAGGGGTGTCAAACTCCCTCATTATTTATTAGTCATGCTGATGACCCTGGGGTGGATGGGAACTGGTCCAGAATATCTGGAAGACACCAACTGCTTATGAACCAGTACTGACTGAGTCTATATATGTTGTTACATCAAAACCAAATAAACCATGTTATAGTTACCAATAACATTTTCATTTTTACAGCCACCTACTATTTTCCTTGAGGGGTGCAGAAGGGGATAATTCTGTTTTTGTTTTCCTTTTTGCTCACTGTATCTTGTGGTTATATATTTGTGCAAAAGCTGCAGTCCAATTTATAGCTTCTAGTAAATACTGCATTCAATGCTATTTTTGGGGGGTGGGGGTGGGTGGGATGAAATCCTGCTGAACTAACTCTCCAACTATCTTAAAAAGTGTCACTAAGGTAAATAATATGTAAGGTTAAATCATCACTGGAAAAAGTGCAAGTTTTACACTGTAATCTTTACTTTGAATGAAGAAAAGGCCATTGATGGGAACAATTATTAAATTTAAATTTCTTATTTTTCCTAGTCTGATCTTCCATCTCACTGAGCTACATGGATTGAATGAGTAGACAAAAATAGTAAATGAAAAAAGGCAAGGGTTTTTTCCCAGAGTAAATTCCCTTTTGTTCATTGGTTCTTGCTCAGATATCCAGAAAGAGAAAACAAGACTCGTCTTTTCTTGCTTGCTTACTAGTGAGGTCCAATATCTCTTTAAGCAGGGAGCATAAGGAAATGGAAGTTTATCTTTTTCTGAACTATCTTCTATGCTGCTCCAGCTACAGAGAAATGGCCAACAAGGAAACAGATTGTATCATTATATATCACAATGGATCCGTAAGTGCCAAGATTGTTGAGGAAAAAACTTCCATGCCTAGAGGTTATATGTGTCTTCTCTTACATTAACGTCCATAAGAGGCAAACCTTAGACAGGGGTTCTCAACTTTGGCAACTTTAAGACGTGTGGACTTCAACTCCCAGAATTCCTCAGCCAGCAAAGCTTAAAGTTGCCAAGATTGAGAACCCCTGCCTTAGAAGGAGCTGGGAGCTTTACAAGTTTGGCAACTTCCTTCTCCTTGCTCCTTTCCAGCGTTTGCTGAATAGTAGAGGAAAGAATTTACTCTTTGTTTCTACCTCTGAAACCTTTTTTCACCCAAGTGTCTGTTTCTCCTTCAAAAGAAAACTGGTGATAGTTTTAAAACTACCTTTTTGAAATTTGTCTCGGGTGTCATGTCACTTCAATTTGAGCCAGAAAGAAGCAGGAAAGACAGAGCCTTATTTTTATCCCAGAAGATAATGCCTGTTTATATTTTATAATAGAAGATCATGTATGAGTTTCAGGTAATCAGAGGACATTTCCTCTGCATGGAAATAACTGGTTTTGTCACCTCTATTGCCTGCCATTCATAGTAAGGTACAGAAATAAAAAATTCTTCAGTCACAAAAAAGTTATTCCCAATCTAAAAAGCTATTATTCTATGTGTCATTCATTTAATGAGCCATTATGATGTACTGTATGTATACATTATGAATGTACACATTATGTATACATTCATCACATTACAAATTTATCTCTGAAAGATCCTAACATAAAATCTGCTTAATGTAGTCTTCTGAAACTTAAGAATGAAAATTGGTCATTTTTCCTCTTTTATTTTTCTTGGTTTCTTTTAATTGGTTCTAATGCAGACATGTCAAACACAAGGCCCGGGGGCCAGATGTGGCCCACAAAGTGGTTTCATGTGGCCCGCGAAGCCATCCTGGAAACAGTGAGGGAACGGCCCCCTCTGCCTTGGCCCTGGCCCAGGCCAGCTGGGAGCCAATGTACAATTTTGTGGTGGCCATTTATGCTGAAATGCATTCAGTCTTAGCTCCATAAGCTCCCCCCCGCATGGCCTGAGGAATAGTGAGACTCCTCCAATGGACCATGCCTTGGCACTTGCCCTGGTCCCACCCCCTTCTGCCAGAGACCTCAGATCTATCCCACTCCTGCCCAGGCCCCCACAGGAACCCTTGAACGATGTAGAGCTGGCCACACCCACCCAGTAGGCCACACCCATTCCATCTATGCCCACGCAGTAGGCCATACCCACCCTGGCCACACCTACCCGGCCCCCTGAGGGCAACCGCAATGCTGGTGTGGCCCTCAATGAAATTGAGTTTGACACCCCTGTTCTAATGGAAGAGGAAAACAGGTGGAATATTCTCTCTGCCCAACCCCAATTGGCAGGTATCTCCAGAGGACAGTTCCCAATCTTCTTACTTTCTCTTTTACTGCTTCGGGTATTGAGGGAGATACAAAGTTCTGGTTCTTGCTCTTTTGGAAGCCTCAACTACTGAGGCTGTTGGAATGGGTCTTTGATGTTGTCCCTCATGAGAGACAATGGATTGTGTTCTTTGAACTTCTCTTCATTTTGTATATGCCTTGTATGGCATGGAATCCCAAGATATCTTCTCCAGGTGAACAAACCACTTTATTTTGCTGTTTTTCTATGTAGTTTAAGATTGGTTCTATGCCAATTTTTTCTCTTACAATCTCATTTCCATTTTATCTTTTTCGGCCACTTCAGCAGCTTTTCTCAAACATTTCATTTCCACGGTGACTAAATGTCATTTATCAGTTCCCAATGACCTTTACCATAATCTCCCAGGAATCAAAGGATTCTACCCTTAATGATTTTACAAGGTGGGCCACTTTATTTAGTTAATCATTAATAGTTGGATAGAAAACTTAAGCAGATATTTACCTGTGAACAAGAGCGTTTTTCAGGCCCTGGCTGAGGTGTCGTGCAACAGTGTTCACTCTTGGTGTGAGAATAGCTTGGGAAACATGGAAAGTTCCATGTTTTGCTCGCTCATTCAGGGTGGTCTCTAAGAACTGCAGTAGTTTATGCACATTAGTTGTGTTTGCCCAGGGAGCTGGCATTTTATTTCCTGTCCACAGAACAGGGTATATTTCACATATAGGATGATGGTAGAAAACAAGAACCTGAAAAAAGGGAGGTAAAAATAAGGCAACCAAAATCTCTTCCTGGGTTAAATTCATTTATATTCATATCATTCTCTAACCTTGCCTTATAAGCAATGGGGAAAGAGTACAACATTACGGAAAAGATTATTGTCTGTTATTAAATATTAAAATATTAAAAGTAAAATCTGACCAATATCAGGTCAAGCGTTACTAGATAAAGTCATAACTGGTTACTACCACTATCATCTAATGGACGTTCCAAAATTGTGGAAACAATTTGAAGAGATTTCAATATTTAATAAAACTTGCTATATATAATTCTATTATATTTATAACAACGAAAATGATACTGAATTGGATTGCACGAGTTGCCATTCCATTCCATTTTAACAGGCATGCTGGCTGAGGAATTCTGGGAGTTGAAGTTCGCAAGTCATAAAAGGGTCAAGTTTGAAGACCCCTGCATTTTAGTCTTGGAATAATCATTCAGCACTATCTGCCTTCAAATACTTAATCTATTGGCAAACAGAATTAATGTCATCACAGATTAAGGGGAATGAAAAGAAAGAATATCACCCATTTGTTGAGCTCTTACACAATAGGTGGGGTTACATTAAGTATCTCATTATTTGTTCTACTTGTTGCTATTATATTTTAACAACTCTCCTTTTGAGAGAGTTGGGGGAAACAATAACATCTCCTATGCCATACTTCATTGTGAAAGCTATATTTAATTATAGGTTTCCCTCATTTGGGTATCCTTTTCTTTTTTTCTCTGGAAGAAAGGCAGTCCCACAACAAATGGCTGGGATAATGTTGAATTATCACCTATAAATGTTTGGTTACAATTATGAATAAATGCATCACATTAATTTGGAAGCATATCTCTCAACTTTCTAGCTCTTGAGGTTTGCCATGTTCACCATCTTGCTCTTTTTATTTTTTGTCTAAATCTGGTTCTGTTGATTGTTTTACAATATTGCTTTTATTTCTGTTGTGAGCTGCTCAAAGTCATTTATAGTTGGGCAGCATCAAACTGAATAAACAAACTTCTACAGCTAGCATCTATATTCAAATACTGCCACCTGGTGGACAGCTTTGGCACCTGCTGCTTTTTGATTTATTTTTGAGAGAGAGAGGAAGAAAGCTATTGTTAATAGAGGAAGAATAAGGATAGCTACTTCATATAATTGAAATAATTTGAGAAATTCAAGACTGATAATCCAGAGGGAACAGCTAGTTCTCAACTTACAAGAGTTCATTTAATGATCGTTCAAAATTACAATGGCACAAAAAAAGTGGATTATGACCATTTTTCACACTTACAACCATTGCAGCACCCCCATGGTTACATGATCAAAATTCAGATGCTTGGCAACTGGTTCATATTTATGACGATAGCAGTGTCCCGGGGTCACCTTTTGTGACCTTCTGACAAGCAAAGTCAATGGGGAAGCCAGATTCACTTAGCAACCGTGTTAGTAACTTAACAACTGCAGTGATTCACTTAACATCTATGGCAAGAAAGGTAGTAAAATGGAGCAAAATTCACTTAACTGTCTCGCTAAGCAACAGAAATTTTGGACTCAATTGTGATCATAAGTCAAGGACTACCTGTAGTCTATTTACTGATCTGATCTATCCCTGTAAGGTTGACATAGAGAAGAATCTTCTATTAGCTTTACCATGACAGATATCATTTTTCATTTTAAGGCTCCAGATTTTTTAAAAATGGTAATACACGGTGATGGACTGATTCAAGGTAATTTCTATTCAATTAAACATCCACCTGAAAAGGAGTTCAGCTAGAAAGACAAGAAGTCACAGATATTATAGAATGGAAGAAGAGTTACAGAGAGATTCAGTGCTAAGATGCAAGTAAGATAACCCAGGGAATTTCTAGATCCTTGAAAACTACTATCTGCTGCGCTTTCAGATTTCCTTCTTCAAACATATCCTATCACCTTCGAAGATGCATTCCCAAAGGCCATCTAAAAGTAGTTTAAAGTATAAAAATGTAGATTCAGATCCAATTAAATAGGATAAAAAAAAATCCTCTACCTGCTGTTGCTTTTCCCAAAGATTTTGCAGTGTCACATTTTCTACACATTCTTTTGTGCAGAGTTTTGATCCAAATATTTCTTCAATCTTGCTGATAAGGTACGTATGATGATTGCTATCCATAGCATAGAAATGATTGAAATCCAGGAAAATTACTTCTTTAGGATGATGGGTTAAGAAGTTGTTTATCTCCACAAGTCCATCACATACTGTGGCTCCAAACAAGCCATGTATAAAGTAGATTTCCTGTCCTGCTTCACCTGGTTTGGATGATACACGGAGATCAAAATAGCGTATTCCACTGTCAAGCTGTTCCTTGAATGTCAGATTTTGGGTTACTGACCATTTCTTCATTAGCTTTTTTACCAAAGGAATTTTAGCTAACCGCCGAATTGCTATGGCTTGATCTGGTCCCACAGGAGAGCTGTCATCCACCCAGTAGCTGAAGGAGTCATGAGAACCTATATTGGGGGGAAAAGGCAATATATTATTCTTGCAAATCTAATTACCAGCAGTAATTAGAATCATTACATACATACATGCATTCACACACACATACAAACACATTATTTTAAAAATGTACTCCTTGCCTTTCCAAATGGGATTCCTAATTTTATACTATTCCAGTGTGATGAGACAATGAGGTGGAAATGTCAGACCAAAGAGACCAAACAATGGAATATACTGATATTTGAACTATCCAATCTTAGCGTAAATCAAATTTCAGATGTACCTAAAAATAATCTCATAAGAAATAGATGACGTTCACCCTTTACAGCTTTCAGAACAGATCTAGGCTAAGCTTCTTATCTCCTCCCAGTAATTATAATTCTTTTGGCATGTGTTTCTTATGCAGGCAGTCCTCGACTTACAATCATTTGTTAGTGAACGTTCAAAGTTACAATGGCACTGAAAAAAGTGACTTATGACCATTTTTCACACTAACAATCGTTGCAGCACCTCCGTGGGTTATGTGATCAAAATTTGGATGCTTGGCAACTGGTTCATACTTATGACGGTCAATGTCCCAGGTCATGGGATCGCCTTTTGCGAACGTCTAACAAGCAAAGTCAGTGGGGAAGGCAGATTCACTTAACAATCGTGTTATCAACTTAACGGCAGTAATTCACTTAACAACTATGGCAAGAAAGGTCATAAAATGGGTCAAAAATTCACTTAACAACTATCTTGCTCAACAACAAAAATTTTGGGCTCAGTTGTGGTTGTAAGTTGAGTACTTCTTGTATTGAATATTTTGAGCCTCCTTTTACAAATTACTTGCAAAGAAACAGTGTAGTACCATACCAGGAGTAGTGCATTATTACAATGTATACCGTATCACCACAAAGTTGTATTGTATTAATATTATATTCAAATATATGTAGATTATTTAATTTGCCATATATACAAATAAAACTAACAGAAATGCAATTTTATAGACTACATTCATTTGGCTAACAGGGCAAATCTTTAAAGCCTAGCAATTACATAATTATGATTTAACTGAGTAATAAATAATATTAAAAATATAATTAAATATGGGATATACCAAGCAATATCAAAGGGGGATAATTAATTTGAAATTTTCTACTTCAATAATTGGTCACTTCTGTGCAAAACAACAAACCAAAACTGGATGAAGACAGATCAGTGCTGCAAGACTGTTGGGTAGAATACACATTTAAATAATAATAATTCTTGGGAAAGATTTAATAGATGACTAAATAACTGGCTTGACTGTGCAGCCACCTTGCTGCAGGACAATCCATATAGATTCTACCTCACTAACCTTTTGGGAATTTTTTAATATTTGTACAGGCAAGTGAATGGGGGCAATTTTATCAATACCATTTACCAGGATTTTCAAAAGACATTTGACAACGTTCCTCATCAAAGGTTCAGGAGATAAAAGGATCAGTTATAAAAGGATTGGTTCTTTGATGGGATGCTAACTGCTAAAATCAAAAAACAAAGAAAAGAAATAAATGAATAATTTATTCAAGGGAAAGAAGTAAGAACTGAAGTTTGTCAAGGGATTGTGTTGATGCTGATGTTTTCTAAACATGTACTTAAAATTAAACAAATGACCCAATGTCTAAGCTCTAGAACAGTGGTTCTCAACCTGTGGGTCGGGACCCCATTTCACGGGGGTTGCCAAACAACGCAGTCCGCCATTTTTTCCCCCTTTTCCTTAGCTGTGCTACTCCCTTTTATTCTATTGGCTTTTGAAAGCCAATAGAATAGATTCTCTTGAATAGAGTCTAATTCTATTGGCTTTCAAAAGCCAATAGGAATTGTCCAGGCTGTCTCTGCCCTGCTGGGCCCGCCAAAAGTCCCATTCTGCAAACGGTGCTGCACCAGTTGAGTAGTCCTCGACTTACGACCGGTTGAGTAGTCCTCGACTTACGACCGGTTGGGGGTTGTGGCATTAAAAAGGTTGAGAACTGCTCTAGAATCAGCTTACAGGTCTTTTTGAACAACAAAAATTAACAGATTTAAGAAGCCGTAAAAATATTTCAGTAAAGAGTGTAGTGGAAGAAGTTTTTTATAGCATAATCTGTATTCAAAATGTACTGTTTCAAACATTTTGTGTGTAGGGTATTTTGAGCACAAGGTTGAATATTTAAATTTTGAAACAGCCCTCTGACCTCAGAACACTTTCAGGATAACTGAAGCTGCCTATTTGGAATGTGACATGAATATTTCACACTTGAAAAAAAATGTTTGGAAGATGAAATGGAACTGCACACACAAAATCATTCTAATCTGAAATATTCTGCATACAACTAGTTAGGGCCACTGGTGGTATACTCTTGTGCAGAAGTCCACTATCCCCAACCATTTTTAGTATTTAAAATATTGTATCTCTTTCTCATGCAGTCTCTTTCTATATGACTGTGGCATTCAGCTTTTGAGTATTTCTTTTTAAAGTTGCAAGTATTGCCCTGCTTTATGTGGCAATCTTGTGCAGAGCACAATGTGCACACCAGGTGGCCCTGCCATGGGTACATAACTGTCAACTCTATCATAACTATGACAAAAATCATATTTTAAAAAATGTGCTTAAGTACACATTTCCTTGGAAACTGAAATTCATGGGACCTCTAATACATTTTACAAGTATCAAACCACAATATTTCCCAATTAATCAGTCAATCAAACCAAAATATGACCTTTCACTTTTCTTTACCTTCCGTTAGTTATTGATATTCTGTAATTTGGGGTACTGGAGAAGCCAATTGTCACAATATTTCAACTTTTTCATTGTAAAAACATTGCTCAAAAAAGTATCTATGAGCAAGCAAATAATAGGTAACTATCAAATAGCAAGCCATTAATGACAGATATCTTCCACGTGTACTATGATACATTCTTAACATTCATAGAAATTAATATGCAGCTTAGTCACATTCAATTATATAAGAACATTATGTGCTAACATATTTTCACATACATCATAGGCACGGTAAATTACAGCACATCAAGTAGATTATAATGTACTCAAAACAGAAATAAATCTTCCTGATGTAATATTAAGAGTTCATAGTGTGCAGTATTTCTTGAACACATATAGAATTACATATATATAATTAGTATAGTATCTTTACTAGAAGAAAAGTAAAAAGAGACAGACATAGTGGATACCATCAACCTTCCTTTAGAACAGGAAGAACAACCAATAAGAAGTATTATTCCTAAATAAAGGAATAAAAGAGTACATGGAGAATATGGGGGTGGAAAGAAATGTATTAATTTTTATTTATAGTCTATGCATGCTTTTTACTGTTGGGATTTATTAATAAAATAGATTTTTAAAAAAGAGGTACTGCTTATTTGAAATATTTACCAGCAGTGGATATATTCATACCAATGGCTTATTTTGAATAATAATGATGATGATGATGATAAAGTTGGAAGGGACCTTGGAGGTCATCTAGTCCAACCCCCTGCTCAGGCAGGAAACCCTATACCATTTCGGACAAATGGCTGTCCAGTTTCTTCTTAAAAACTTCCATTGTTGGTGCATTCACCACTTCTGGAGGCAGATTGTTCCATTGGTTAATTGTTCTAACTGTCAGGAAGTTTTTCTTTAATTCTAGATTGCTTCTCTCTTTGGTTAGTTTCCATCCGTTGCTTCTTGTCCTGCCTTCAGGCGCCTTGGAGAATAGCTTGACTCCCTCTTCTTTGTGGCAGCCCCTGAGGTATTGGAACACTGCTATCATGTCCCCACTCGTCCTTCTCTTCATTAAACTAGACATACCCAATTCCAGCAACCATTCCTTATATGCTTTAGCCTCCAGTCCCCTAATCATCTTTGTTGCTCTTCTCTGTACTTTCTAGAGTCTCAGCATCTTTTTTACATCGCGGTGACCAAAACTGGATGCAGTATTCCAAATGTGGCCCTACCAAGGCATTGTAAAGTGGCATTAACATTTCATGTGTTCTTGATTCTATCCCTCTGTTAATCTTCTAAATTATAAAAAATTAAAAACGTTATTTGATATTTGAGATACTGTAGATAGACAAATCATTGTTTTAAAAGCCAAGTGCTGGGATCTGCCAATAACTTTTAAAACAGATTCTAGTGTTCTATCAATTTCATCCCTTTGATGGCTTGAACATTGAGAATGTAGATGCTATGATAGCTTGTCCTATTAAAACGCATTATGGTTGGTGTCAAGTACTTAAATACTGTTCTTGCTCTTCTGGTAATTATTAAATTTAAGTAGATGCTTATAGGAATGAAACAGAAGGGTGCATTCTAATTGGCTTATTCTACATTCAATCTCTCAGTGCTTATTTCATCTGCTACATCCATGTGCAGCTTTCTCTAATAGCAGTCTGAAAGACTACAGCTACATGAACTAGACATAAAATCCTTGTAATAAATCCTTGTGATAAATATTTTTTCTTCCAATTCTGCAGGAAAAGTAGCTTTACATTTCACTTCAAATGAGAAGGTTTCAGGACAAAAAAGTAATTGGATTTAAATCTGGAAAAATTGATATGTGAATTAAAAGTAACCTTTTCACTCTCTCTTCATTCTCTATAATGTAGATTTTCTACACGGTAGTGAGTGCAGATTACTTTTAATATGATATACTCTCTAGCCCCATTTGCTTGTCAAAAATATTTCAAATAGGATTTTGAACAGCATTCAATAAATTGTTTGTATTGGTTACTGTTATGACTCACCAGCACATTTCCTCATTTATATCTTTAGCAGTAGGTTCTGCTAATGTTCTGTTTGTTAATTGCAAATAAAACACAAATCAAAGCTCACCGTGTGCCAGCTATGGATTTTCCAGTTGTTAAAAGTGACTAGACTTAAAGAAGAACAAATGATTAATCTAATCTGGTACTCTGAGATTAGTTGAAGTCAACTATGGTTATTGCTAAGTAAAGGCCAATCCTCTTAAAAAGCTTACATTTGCAATTACATGTTCTCAGTCTAATATAATATGGGAATGTTGTTTGATTCAAGCTAATGATTAGCTTTTATGAAAAAGATACAAGTGTTACTGAATACTTTATTATGAATAAATATATTCCTTTAGAGCACTATTAAGCCACATCTATTTATTTTAAGAAGTAGAAAAGGTATTCTCTATATTTAATATCATCTATACATAATTGAATATTTAGATACAGAAAAACTTGATCTAACAGATCCTCAGTTAGCAGACTTTGGAAGCAATGGACAAAGTTTTTGTACAAACAGGCCTCTGAAATAACAGACATCTCTTTCTTGATGTTCTTTTGGATACAGTAAATAAATAAATAAATCTACCCCAATATTATTTGTAGTCCAATGAGAAAGCAATGCTCATTGTTTCAAATAGATATTTGTTCCAGACTGGCAATGTCTGATTTTGTTTTTGGCTGATCTTTTAGCTGCTTTCTAACTTTAGGAAAAATAAATATACTCTTTACTGATTTTTCAACCAGACCTATTTATTTATTTAGATTCTGCCTTTATTATTTTTGCAAATAACTTGGGGCAGCAAACATATCCATCATACTTTCCTGCCCGTTTCCCCCAACAACTCTTTAAGATGAATTGGGCTGAGAGTCAATGACTGGACCAAGGTCACCCATCTGGCTTTCATGCCTAAGGTAGGACTTGAACTCATGGTTTCCTGCTTTCTAGCCTGGTGCCTTAACCACTAGACCAAACTGGCTTTAATTTAAACCACGTATGTTCAAATTTTCTTTTCACCAAATTTAGGTTTAATGGTAGTCTGTTGTAGCCAAATTTCTGGCTGCTCCATTTGGATGCCGGAGAAAACTATTTGAGTTAGTTTTCTTCTTTGCTATTATGTTTGCTCTTGGGGTTCTTTGGCTGTAATAACCTTAACAAAATGTATCAAATTCTTATTCTGGGGAAAAGCTTCTCAAATCCCCCACCTGTATTCTGTAAACCTTAATAATATATAAAATGCATATACTTATTTTATCAAGGAAGGAAACATTTATAAAATGTTTTAACTACTCCATTCCAAAGATATCCATTTGATAGTTGTTTTTTAATCACAAATCACAAATAATTAAATAATTTTCCAATTATTTAATTTTTTTCCCTTAAGGGCAAAAGTGCCCAAATTCAAGATAACTAGATTTTCAATCTACCCAATAATCCATCCTAACTTCTGGACCTCAATTAGATCAATGGCACCTGCATTCACATACCGTAATTATCATAACCATCCCCTCCCCTCCAGATGTTTAAATTACAACTCCCAGAGTTCCTGATTCTTTAACTCGGTTGGCCTTCTTCCTCAATCTGTCGTCCTCCAGGTGTAACAAAACTCCGGTTCCCACAGGCCCTATCCATCACGGATATCGCAGGTCAGCACATCTGGAGGGTATTCTCATGAGGGCAGGTGCCCTTTGCTAAATTTTTGCCAGAAACTGCCCAAGCATATTTCACCTTTCTGTGATGCAGGCCGCGCCCGCCAGAGATGCAACGAGGACGCCTAGGCAGCCAAGGTCGGTTCGCTCGCCATTTACCTGGTATGGCCAGCCTGGAAAGCGGCAGGGCGCAGAGGACGGGCGGCAGAGAGCCCATCCAGTCTGCGTTGTTGCGTTGGGTTGCCATTCCTCGCCTTCAGCTCCGGCTTCGGAAACGCTGCTGGTTGCGCTGATGAGCCGAACGGCTGCTCCTCCCGTCCTCGGCGGTTCCCACTCCTAGTTGCTGAAGCGCATTGGAGTAAGCGCCGGCAGAGGCTCCTCTTCGGTCATCCTCCGGGAAACTTGCCAAACCGGGAGAGCAACTGCCTCGCCCTGCCTGGGACGCTGCGCCTGCCTGGTTTTTAAAATCCCCCCCCCCCTACATCCCTCTGACGAAGGCAAAGGAGGCTGATGAGGATACCGACCTCGCTCCACGGGCGGCGGGAAGAGCTGCCAGGTCTGGGGACTCCTCCTCCCCCCCTCCCGCCGCCCTCTCGCCTCACGAAACGGCCTCTTAGTCCGGTGCGCAGCTCTGACCCCGGCCGCCGGGATTGATCGACAGCGCCACCAGGCGGCTGTTCAGCCGTGGCGTCACTGCTTTCGTGACAGCTGTGGCGGACGGCGATTTGGCCTGACGGGGCTGCTGAGCCGAGTGAGCTGTTAAGTAGCTGCTTATTTCTTCCGGAAACTCTTGAATTTTGGTTTTGTGCGATACACCTTGAAGGCGGAGAATCGTCCAAAAATGTTTAAATAGCCGCCATTGTCAATTAATTATAGGTTCCTGGCCTAAACACGATTGTTGATTGGTTCATCGGATTATAATTTTCTAAAAACCAGTGCTTTTTTTGTAAAAAAAAAAAAAAAGGTGCCGGAACTCACATACGTCATACAACCCGCCTTGTCTACCCTACAAAGTTTCATCCCAAAAAGGTGCCCTTCTATGACAAAAAAAGCCCTGCTAAAAACCAACCATCGTTAAAAATCAAAACCAGTATATGGAGCCACGTGCACACTGGCAGTGTTTGACCTCCATCCCTCCAAAGCAGTTTGAAGTTGGCCCGCGATCGTACTCTCTGTTAGCCTTAAAATCCTGGAGCTGCAGAGAATGAGAGAAAACAGTCTGTGCTTTTCGCCAGCTGACCAGAAGGAAATTCAAATAAACTGCAGAATTGAATTCTTCCCAACCTTCTCCAGTCTAGGTCATTCGTGGGGGGAAGGAAGACAGAATGCAAGAAGGGATTCTCTGGACTGGAGAGATGTTTTTCTGGAAAGTTTTTTTCCTCCACATCCCAACCAGATGGACTCTTTTTTCAAACTCAGACTTTCGTTTGCTAGGTTTCTTTTGCCCTACTAAACGTAGTCCCATTCTATTCTGTTTTCCTGATGATGCACAGGTAGAGTCGACAGCCCCTTTGTCCATCCCCCCCCCCAACATTCTCTCTGGCTAGGAAAAAAAAAAGCATTTAGTCAAGCCCCTGGAAGTAGGAAACATTACAGAAATAAATGAGTTGCTACATTCCACCCTGTGGTTGGTGTTCATACTGCATGCTTTTGACCACTGGCCAAATATCTAAGTGATTGCTAAATGACTGAGCTTTGCTACTGTCACGTGACCTATCTTCTGCAGCATTGCACAGCCCATGAGAAATATAACCTAGAATGGAGAGCAGCCCAGTAGTTTGGCAACTTCGCAACTAGGTTTTTACCTCAGTAGTTCAAACTATAGATCTGTGTTCTGGTGGTGGCTGGAGTGGAGGACCCAAATTCTACATCAGTGATTTTCAAACTTGGGAACTTTAAGATTGGTGGAACTCCCCAGCCATTATGCCAACTGGTGGTTGAAGTCCATCTATCTTATAGTTGCCAAGTTTGAAAAGAAAAAAAATTCTAAATTTTAAACAGGATGGTGGATGTTAAGGGAGATTGTCTTCAATTCTCTGAGAAACAAAGGGATGAGCTAGGAGTTCCTGCTGGTGAAGAAAAAAATATATCCATCAAGTGAATAGAGCTGTGATCTTGAAAAGAAAGAAATCATTTTTGTCCTCTTCAAAATAAAGTATACTGGAATCAGAAAAAAAAATACTTAAGCTTTTCAAATAAGTTGACATTATACAAGAAACCAAAACTAAAGCTAGTTCCAGAGCAAAACAAAACTCCTTATGTGGAGATGCTCTTAATTATATTTTCTTTAAATAATAATGTATACATTCTTTGCAAATGAAGAAAGCAAAAATGTAAAAATCACAATCCAAAAATTTATACATAATATTTAATGAAACTGGTTTTAATCTACAAAAGCCTATGCCACCATAAACAAAGTATCATAGAATTATTTCTACACGTGTTCATTCCTGTGTTATTTAAAAGTTGTCTTGGAATCCTAGAATGTTGCTTTAGGTGTCCTATTCCTGTAGCACCTTAGACTGCTGATAGAGAATTGTTTCTGTAAATATATATATATATAAATGTTCATAATACACCTAAAATTATAATTTGCTAGCTATTGACCAATTGATGTATTTTTCTAATGATATAACTATGAGCGTGTGTTTTTTTCTGCTGTGAACACTATCATGTGTACTGTTGCTTAGAACAATAATGGTGTGTTTGTGTGTGTGTTTGCATGGGAGTATTTATGTTTTAAGCGAAAAGAATGCATTTGCCAGTCCTTGATTGAAAAGTATTTAAAATAAGAATTTAATAATACAATGACATACCTTGTTGCCTAGGTGTTTGCCACTGTTCTATCTCCAGTTGCCTGTTACCTTCCACTTTCCAACTGGTGGGATGAAAGAGTTTAATCATTTGAAGAACCTGAACTATAGTGCTAAGGTCCAGTTCCCAGGTACTATATATACAGGTAGTCCTCGACTTATGACCACAATTGAGCCCAACCTTTCTGTTGTTAAGGGAGAGATTTGTTAAGTGAGTGTGACTCTATTTTATGACCCTTCTTGCCACTGGGGTTAAGTGAATCATCACAGTTGATAAGTTAGTAACACAGTTATTAAGTGAATCTTTGCTTGTCAAAAGGTTTGCAAAAAGATGATCACATGACCTTGGGACCCGGCAACAGTCTGAATCAGTTGTCAAGCATCTGAATTTGATGACATCATGAGGATGCTACAAAGATTGTAACTGTGAAAAATGGTCATAAATCACTTTTTCCAGTGCCATTGTAACTTTGAACGGTCACTAAATGAACTGTTGTAAGTCAAGGACTACTTGTACTTGCGTATAAATCAAGAATTTTTGGCTGCAAATATGACCCCCCCCCCAAAATTGAGTTCTTATATGCAGTCCAGAGCTTAGGTTTTTTTTATAAAATTACAAGATATAAATGATAAAGTGAAAGTTTGCAGTTTCCCACCTTTCACTGCACACGTTTCTAGTAGGCAGAAAATCACCGTGTCTGAAAATTGCCGACAGTTACCTTATGATGTAGTTTTCAAACCAAAACCTATTAGGAGAGCAGAGGAGACAAACAATTCTGTGGCTGCCAAAGAAGCCACTCAAAAGGGGTGGAATTCTCTATTGCCCCAGAGGACAGGATAAGAATCAGTAGAAGATGTTCAGGATATACTGTACACGAGGAGAAACGTCCTGACAGTACAAGCTGGCAGCCAGTGGAACAGGCTGCCACATGAAAGTGTTAAAATAGCCATAACAATTATTCACACACAGACTGGATCATTGTCTGTTAGAGATGCCATAGTCAGTAGATTCTGCACAGAGCAGGCTCCAACTCTATGATATGTAATATTTCCTTAAAAGCAGTTAAAGTTAACTGCAGTCAATATGTTCTATAAGTTTAATCGGAATTTAGTCACAGTAAGATTAGCCAACTGGAGAGTATACTCTAGCTTTCTTTTGATCAAAGGAAGAGGAAGGAATAAAATAGGGAGGGAGAGAAAGACAGATTTGTGGATGTTAAGTAGTATTTATCTGAAGATTTAAAAACTCAAGATTGAAGTTCTGAAGATGAAGATGTGACCAGAAACCAACATCTTGCTTAAATACAGTCTGATGTGAGCCCCAAAATATGTTATATGAACTCAATCATTTCTTAATGGTTTAGCAGGTTGTGTGAACCTACATTTCATTCAGCAAATCATGAAGCACGACTTAGTATTAGGTATAATCAATGAGTGGGATTATCTTGCCACGGTGATGAAGCTACATTAGAAGCATTGGAAGCATTCTGAAATCCCACATTCTGAAATATCCAGAGAATTCATTGGTGGCTTTATTTGATACTCATAACCTTTTTCATCATAGGATGTACCACATAGTTTCATAGTCACTTCCAAAAAACCCTTGTCCACTTGTAACCTGATAATAGAGTTTACTAATAGATAGACACAATGCTTTGGAAAAGAGCCCACTGTCTGTAGAACTAAAGGGTACATGTACTTTATCAACGTCTGAGATTTAGTTTCATTCATTCTCGAATGATCACTATGTATACTGTATGAAACTGGATAGTTTTGAAGTGACTGACAGTGTTTCTGATTAAGTTTAATTCATATGACCAATTTTTATTCCATCTACTGAAATCAACTTAAAATTAGCAAGGATATTTGCATTGGAGTTCTGCAATCCCTATTTGTATGAAACACTATAAACTCCAATCCCTATTTGTATGAAACACTATACTATGTGGACCATGGCTGATGATAGCTACACTATTAGATTGAGCAGGCCCAGTGTAGAAAATCAGCCACTTGCTACCAAATTTTGATGACATATGTAAAAGTTCCAGAAATAATAAAAATTGGTTAAGAGATGACCTGCTGCCTGTGGGTTATCTTCCCTTTCTTCCTTTCCTTTCTCTTTTAACTTTCCTTCTCTTTCTCCAATCAATTACAAGAATCTTCTTGTAATTTATGACTGAATATTTTTTTCAGTAGGATTTCCCCCAGTATTTTTATTGTTCAAGTAGTTAGCTCTGTTCCATCTTGTTTGGAATAATTATTGTCCTCCTATTAGATTGTTTTAGCAATCTAAAACATTTGTGGGAAAGGGAAATCAACCTTGGGATATAAAATAGGATGGGATTAGAAAGAAAACAGCATTATATTTAGAACTGATGATCTTTTCCCCCATTAGGTATACGCATTCCTGAACAGCATCCTTTCTAAGATACTGTTTTCCAACATTTTATCTGAACCTAATAATATTATCTAAGGGCTGGCTTTGTGTGTTATGGATTGTTGTATTTTTTTCTTTGTAATGTACCAGACACCAGCTTCAGTCTCGATGTGATAATGCTGAGCTCTCTAGAGCAGTGGTTCTCAACCTGTGGGTCAGGACCCCATTTGGAGTCGAACGACCATTTCACGGGGGTCGCCAAACAAGGCTGTCTG